CCCCATTTTAATTTACCACCTGTACACAAAACTCTTTTTATTTCATACAAACTTTCACTCACCTTTTCATCTGATCTTCCTCGAAACCAAAGACCAATTTTCGATAGCCGAGTTTCAAGTTTCCATGAATTAACCCGTAACTGAATCAGCACATGTTTAACAATGTGCGTACCATAACTTCGGAGAATGGCAGAGCAGGAACCGTAAGGGATAAATGACTAGCTGATGAAGAAGGATTCTTACAACAACAACAACAACAACAAAAAAAAGAATAAGAGAAAAGGTGTCATGTATATACACGTCAACGTATTGACATTATAATAATAACACCATGTGTTTTTTTTTCTTTTTTGATATTAAAGGGGAATATACGAATGAAATTCTTTGCGACGTTGGTTTTTTTATACAACAATTATTCTCTTTGTTTTCAACACCATTCCTGCGATATGGATTCTCTCATGAAGGGTTACGGTTTTCGGAATTCAGTGAGTACGGGGAATATGGATTCAAAAGCCTCGTAAATCTCTTGACGCACCTGTAGAGTTGAAATGGTAAGTTAGTTCCGTAATCGAATGGTAACCATCTCATTAAACGTATCAGCAATAAACATTTCGCACACGTACCTTCGCGCCCGTAAGCACAATCTTTCCAGAAACGAAAATCAGTAATACGATCTTTGGCTTGACCATTCTGTAAATTAGGCCAGGGAATAATTCCGGTTCATACTATAATAGGAAACAATAATAGGCAGGTGTTATCAGTAAGTTATTGATACGTCAAGTCTGTGGCAAGATAAATATCACGGCTTTCCAAATAATTTGACGATCTCACATGCTTGCGTGCTTGTTATTGGTTAACAGTGCCGCCACCCATATGAGCAACCCGTATGAGCAACCCTCTTTCGAACGAATATCTAATTTTATGACGCCCCAACCAGTTTTCTCCTTCACCCTCTCTTTCCTCCTCCTCCATATATAATGCATACTCACACTGCTAAAGTGTCCATGAGAATAAGCCAACCCCTCCAACCGAATAGGGAACTTGACATCACACGATCCAACAATGTTCTGAATCTTAAATTCTGTAAACTTCGCATTGAAACCCAACTTCTGAATAATCCTCGCGTATTTCCTACTTGCAAGTTTAGAGTCATCTTCCGATTTGGCCCCGGTGACGACCATCTTGCCAGACGCAAAGATTAAAGCAGTTGTCTTGGGATCGCGGATTCGCATAATCACCGCTGCGAAACGCTGTTATAAAGGTAAGTGTTTGACGAAGAGGAACACAAAAGAAAAGAAAAAGGAACAAACGAGAGCGGGAAATATGTATAAATATGATAAGGAAAGAAAGGAAAAGATTGGTAGAGGATATAGGTGAGAAACAGAGATATCAAAGATATGATTTGCACACAGTGATCGAGACCATAGAAATTAAAGGAGAGAGGGGTGGCGGGGATAAAAAGATCGATAGATGATAGAAATTATCATACGATGATCGATGACTGATTTATTATGCTCTTCATATGCTACAGGCACAGAGAGAGTACGAATAAAAAAGGGGATGGGGGAAAAGTACCTTTGGATTGTATTCTGCGTTTCGCGCGTGAAGGGCGATTGTTTTGAGGTCTAGTCGACAGTCGAGGTTGACTGTTGCAACAATGTTTCTATGATTTATTGTGCAGATCAGATGAAAAGGTGAGTGAAAGTTTGTATGAAATAAAAAGAGTTTTGTGTACAGGTGGTAAATTAAAATGGGG